TGTGTGTGTGTGTGTGTGTGTGTGTGTGTGTGTGTGTGTGTGTGTGTGTGTGTGTGTGTGTGTGTGTGTGTGTGTGTGTGTGTGTGTGTGTGTGTGTGTGTGTGTGTGTGTGTGTGTGTGTGTGTGTGTGTGTGTGTGTGTGTGTGTGTGTGTGTGTGTCACGCCTCAACCCCATGTCGTCTGCTTGCAGGAATCTGGGCGAGGCCTGGATCGTCTGCGTCGTTCGTCGCCGCTTTCGCCAAAGCCTCCATAGAATCCAAGCTGCTCTCCAAGGGCGCCATCGTTGCCCTGGAGACGACCAAGGCGCTGGCACGCGGGTGAGAGCGCATATTATACTAACGCAACTACGGGATAGCTTATCTGGGTAATAAATCAAGTGGATGTGCCTGGAAGTTGCCTCCGTGACAACGAAATCCGATAATGGCGGGAATGTGTAATTTCGTTCCTTCAGTCACGTCGTTTCTTCTTTGAGTGTTTTTTTCAGCCGGGAGGGTCGCGAATTAGACATCTGATTTATATATTCTGACCTGAATTATATATTTGTTATATCAAGAGCTAATAATACCGCTATTATTAGGTATTATAATAGAGGAATATATTATTAGCTCCTGGTTATATATCTATCGTACATGTATGTAGTGCGACTACATTCCGCTACGTGGCGCCGGCGATCGGTTTCGCATCGGAATCGCTGCGGACGTTCATGTTTATTCAAGTATATCTAGTAATTATAACGGGATCGTTTACCGCGCAGCAATTGCCCGAGAAATTACGAGCGAATTATTTCCATCGTTTCCCCGGCGGGACGGCGGTGTATAATTTCGTTCGCGTGTATAAAGGTGGGTCTGTATCGCCGTGCACAAAGCACGCCATTATGCGTGGTGCACGCGCGTGCTCCGATTAGCTAGGTTAGAGGGACCAAGAATGAACTGTTACGCAATGATGAAGTAACAACATCGCGATTGCTACGACAAGGTGAGCGCGTATAGCCAACATGTTCTGCTTGCATCCATGACAAATACGACATGCGCATAAATTATTATACGCTTCTCCTATGACACTATTTCTCATAGGAAGATTCGTCCTATGACAAATATTGGCGAGTCAACTTCGTTCCGCTTTACAGCTAAAATTCACTGCACTTGTCGTTCATAATAGCGCTCCTAAACTCCTATGATGCGCACAACACATACAACAATATTTGTCATAAGAAGAATCTTCCTATGACAAAATTAATAGCGTCATAGGAGAGCGTATATGCGTATGTCGTATTTGTCATAGATGCTAGCAGAACAGGCTGGCATAGCCGGGGAGGCTTGTGCTCTATCCTGAAGGGAGTCTGAACAAATCAAACTGTCAAATCCTATGGGAGTCTGAACAAGCTACAATCTCTACTCTACGAGACTCTATACTTTTGTGACATCCACAGAGATGATTTCGGAGGTTGATTTAAATTTCGAAATGCCATAATTTTATACCTACATTTTGTTGTTAGTCGCGGTTAGCAGTGGTTGGCGTGTGGATGGGGAGACCACAGGGTAGCGGTTTGCGAGTTGCGTCTTCCGTGACAATAAGGAGTCACCGCTCCCTACCCTCTCACGGATTCCCTCACCCACAGACAACATACGCGCGAACCCCCCGCACGCACACACACGCACGCACGCACGCACACACACAACACACACACACACACACACACACACACACACACACACACACACACACACACTACT